ACAGGCACCAATACATAGTGTCGTACCCCAAAAGCCATGAAGATCACAGCAAGTAAGAGGGAAACTAAGTGTTTTAATAATTTGCTCAGGACATAGAGGACCAGTAGGGAAACTGCTGAAGCAACTGTGCTCCCCAAACTAACCTTGTTTTCACTTTCCCATTTCTCACAGCTAGCTACTTCATCTACAAGACCCATTTCACAGAAAGCAAGGCTTGCATTCTGTCAGATTTCTCTGTTATATTAGACAGAAACATTTGTAAACCTCTCTCCTTCTCTCTGTCCATCACCCACTCCCAACCTCTAAATACCCCACTACACAGAAATTTCTCTCTTCTCCCAGGATTCGGGTTTTTCATTATAGGCAACTATGTTTTCTGTCCCCATGGTTTCATCCATTCTTTTTACTGTGTCCCATTCCTATGGATTCCTTGTTCTCCTTCCTATGGTTCCTTACATTTAATTATTATTATTATTAAACATTTTGTGCAAGATTGTCCATGACATGCATTCTTTGGTTCCCTAGAAGATCTGCACGAAGCAACGCCAGAAGTGATCACCTGGATAGCTGAATTGGATATCCAGTTATGAAGCCACTGTGATACCCTCATAGAAGTTTTACTTATAATTACATAACAGACTTCTCTTCTGTCCTGTTCTCATCATTAAATAATAATAATCCACTTCATTTCTCCTTTTCCCTTTCTCCTTTTTGGGAGGTTTACAACATACAAGCACAACTTGAAGACTGAGTTTCCCTCTCTCTGGGTAACCAATTCAAGAATTCACCTCAAATTGCAATAGATGTGGACACTGCAGCACAGCAGGCAAAAGAATTATGTGCAATAGGGAGGTTCATATTAAATTAACAGCAAGCCTTTCTGCCTATCCTTAAGTCTTTCAAAAGCAATAAAGGCATGAAATGAGCTGTTCCCGTTGCGAGTCCCTGTCTTGCATCTATCCCCTCCATTCCTAGTAACTGCACTCCCCTGACTTCAGACACAGCACATAGGATGAATACGGCAGAACTTGACTGAACAACAGCAGCCTTAAATCAATATTTATATGGCTTTATTGTATATTGTTTAAAACTTAATCTATAAGCACACCATTTGTCCTACAGCAAACATGACAGGGTTAGAGGAACAAAGCAAAAAGAGGGACTCTCATGACAGAGAAAAAGGAAAACCAGGTTCAGTGTATTTGTGCTGGCTTCTCTTTCATAGGGAATTAATGGTGGTTTAATGGGGTATGAAAGAATGTTTTACTGGAAACAATGAGGAACAATTGTCTAGCTCACGTTTCATTTCACAGGTCATTATTGCATTAAGAAGTAAATCGACCAAGTCCGGTAAATAACAGTCTGGGTATTGCTGAAAGCTTCAAACCAAACAATTTTACAGTTTTCACCTAATATCTCTATCATTTTTAACCCTTACAGAGATCTGCTGCAGGCTAAACAATTATTATCTTCACCCACCCCTGGCAGGTAAGCATTATTCATTTTACCTTCTCTAGCAAGCCCCACCAGGCAACGGGTTTTGCATTGTTGTTTTGTTTATTAGGCAGCCTAGCCAACTGTGTATCTGGTGGCCTTGAAAAACAACACAACTTTTAGTGAGTGCTGCAGGCATCTTTAAACAGGCTGCTTCCTCTGCAAAATTAATTGTTGCAAAACACAGCACTTCTTCTGTGTCAAGTACTGCACACTGACACTCAGCAGTTTGTCTTCGTTATGGATATGCCAGGGAAATTTAGGGCAATGCCATTCTTCAAGTTCACATGCAAATCCTGTAAAGTGTGAGGCTTATTCACTCTTGAGAAGGCCGACCTTGTTACTTACTTAATTTTCATCTGGGAACTATAAAGTCTAGCTGTCTTGTCATCCATCTCTCAATGTATAAACAATTACTGTACTGTTCTTTGAACAACATCAGTCAAATATATTAATCATAAATTCCTCTGAATTCTATTTTTCACCATATTTAAAATTCATTTCTGATGCAACCTTATAAATTCAGTTTCTCTCAGAACAGATGTCAAGAATGTAAGTATTATTTCCATTCACGTGTTATAACTTTTCAGGGAGGAATTCTTTCTGCTAAATCCATTCCCTTCATTGTTCAAACATGCCTCTCACCTCTCAATTATCTCACAGTCCAAGGAATCAGAAGGTGGCTGAAAATTAGTGAACCTTGTGACAAATTAAGGGCATGCTTTTTATGTTGCTTTTTCTTCCAATGTTTTAAAATTCTTATTTTGAATTTATTATGTGCCATTAAGTGATTTTTCAACTCATAGCAACCACATAGATAGATTTTCTCCATGACAATCTTTCCCTAGCCTGTTCTTTCAGGTCCGTTCGGAGTGGACAGATATAGTTTTTAATATCTGTGCAGTGCATAAAAAGGCCCTTCCTTGGCTTATCACCATCCGTTTAGTAACCATTTGAAGTTACAACGGCCCTGAAAAAAGTGACTTATGAGCATTTTTCATACTTGTGGGTGTTGCAGCATCCCCATGGTCACATGATCAAAATTCGGGTGCTCGGCAACTGCCAAGTATTGATGAAATTGCAGTGTCCCGGGGGGCTCATGTGATCACCTTTTGCAACCTTCTGACAAGCAAAGTCAGTGGGGAAGCCAGATTCATTTAACAACTGTTCTTCTAACTTAACAACTGCAGTGATTCACTCAACAACTGTGGCAAATAAGGTCGTAAAATGGAGCAAAACTCACTGAACAATTGTCTTGCTTGGCAATGCAAATTTGGGACTCAGTTGTGGTCATAGCTCAAGGGCTACTTATATGTGTGTAGAGAGGTGTTTAACAGCCTTTTCCGTGATAACACAGTAGCATTCTGGAAAATGTTTTTAACTTTCCAGTAGGCCCCTTTGTTTATAAATTCACTTCTCCTTTGTGTATTAGAGGATGTTGCTCCTCAACATTATTCTGATTTTTTTACATTATATTATGTTGATTTAATTGGTTGGTTGGTTAGTTGGTTGATTATGATAGTAGGGGGAGTAAATCTAGTTAATATCTCTTTCCTGTTCTAACACTTCTCAAGGTGCATAAAAACAGTCATGATAGCAAGAAAACAGTAAAAACTTCAGTTACTCTTAGCCCAGTGGGATTCAGCCAGTTTACACCAGTTCAGTAGAACTGGTAGCTAAATTTTGTTGAGTTCGGAGAACTGGCTGAATGAAGACTGCTTCCAGAAGTCCATTCTAGGCCTCAGAGGCCTAGAGGATGCCTCCCAGGCCTAGAATGGCCCTTCAGAAGTGCATGGATGCCACTTCTGGAAGTCCGTTCTAGGCCTTTAATGCCCAGGCCTGTATCCACGCAGAGAACTGGTTGTTCAAGTATTTGAATCCCACCACTGTCTTAGCCTCACTATGGAAACCACACTAGAAATCAACTTCACAGGGAAACTAAGAATATTGTTATTGAGAAGGGCTATAATGAAATAAATGTTATAGGTCTGCTATACCTCCTCCCCTTCTTATATTCATGTGATTATGAAGATTTCTGTCTGAGCCTCTTTGCCATACTTTCTGCCTGTTTCGGATTTAAGATTTGCCTTTCCCCTCATTGTTCTGGTAACTGTACTTATCCTCAGTATCTCCATCAGTGTCATCTTGTTTATGCTCTGCAATTGTTTTATGTAGATACAGAATATGCTTTCTGTATCTACGTATACTCAGGGAATATAGCTTAATAGTTATCAGGAACAGAAATTTCCTCGCATGGTATTATTTTCCACTATCTCAATATTTCACCAAAGAGTTATCCTATAATATACATCATAAAAATCAATGTCCCCAATTAAAGCTTGATACATAAAAATAAACCATAATATAAAAAGTTAACTTATATACCAGAAAAGAAAAATATGGTGATAAAGCATCTCATTTGTTTTCAGAATAGAACTTCCATGAATGAATGCTTTGGGATTCACCACAAAGTAGTGCAGCAGATAAAGGATATATTATAAAGGACTTCTATAAATGATGGGTCATTAAAATTAGGGAGATATGATTCTTGTCCATGGTTTGGACTTGAAAATGAGAAGCGGATTAAAAAAAAAGAGAATCCCAAAATGTATATTTAAGACAGAGGTGGATGATCAATTTCTTCTTTTAAAAAAAAGTTTTATGACACTGATTATTAGCTCAATGTCAAATCCTTCTAAGGGCCTTTTCTCAATGAATTCCATAAATGTCCTTTTCTAGAAAACTCTTCTGGAAATTCTTAAAATGGCAAAGATGGTTGTTTTCTAATGACAAATCTAGAAGCTTATGACCTGATACGTGCATGAACATAAAGATCAATAAACCTGCCTTTAAAGATGATGGAACCTGGTGTTTGACTTTTTGACTTGTGATTCATAATCAGGTCAACTAAAGCAGGGGGGAAGATCACGTCTGTGCAAGACAGTGAATTAATCAGCCCTCTAAGCAGCCTCTAAGACAGATCCTTAGAGAAATGCCTTTTACCCTGGAAGACATTAGATGTTTTATTTAAAGATTAAACATTTGGTTTAAAGATTAAAGTTCTCTTTGTGCTTAATCGCTTTCCAGGGCAAGATGGAAAATGAGATTAATTACAGTCCCCTGCATTAAGCTCCTATCCAGCTGAAGTAACTTTTCTGCAAAATGGCCACCATCATGAACAGCAGGCTCCAGAGATACTAATTGTAATTAAAGAGTTTATCTGGAGTCGCAGCACAGTCTTAATCAGGATGGGAACCGAGTCTCACTGCATGCACTTTCAGCACATGGCTGTATAACAAAATAGCTCTTTTGAAAAGGCAGTTTACTCTAAAAAGTCTGAGCAGGACTTGATGCCGGCGGGCCTACCATTCTCTATGGGATTCACACAAAATCTTATTAGGTCAATTGTTTAGAAAGCATCTCTCATTAAGGGATTTCAAAACGCTTGTGAAAAGTGAATAAAATTACCTTGCTCTATTGAAGAATAAATGTGGACCAGGCTGCCGTTAATACATATAAAGGTTATGTTGAATTAAGTTACTTGCCCTGGAACTAGGAGAGACATATACAATTGGAAACTGTACCCCTGAGACAATGACTCTAAATTCTTTATTGTCATACTGCCATCTTTCTGGAATAATTGTCTTCAAATGGCCACAGTAGCACTCGATTCCTTCTAAGTTGCTCTCTCTTGCATATAACATCCTTTGGTATTGCTGTCTACCCATGACTGGCAACTTACCAGCATCCTGGCATGCTTGTTCCCAATCCAACTCTGATTTTTGGAAAACTGATACAGGGGAATCCAATCCTAGGGCACTTCCATCCAAATCTTTGAAAAGAGCTTTCCTTGAGTTCCCACATATTGCATTACCAGATGAGCTAGGTTCATTTACTCTGACGAGAAAGAAAAAAATATGAGACTTGGGAACAGACCAATTTCTGATACACATGTCAGTTAAATAGGAGACAGCATAATAGTGGTAAAAGTAAAGGTTTCCTCTGTCCAGATGTCCAACTCTAGGGGGCAGTGCTCATCTCCATTTCTTAGCCCAGGGAGCCAGCGTTGTCCAAAGACACTTCCATGGTTACGTGGATAGCATGACTATACACAGTGGCACACAGAACACTGTGGTACCTATTTATCTACTTGCATTTGCATGTTTTCGACCTCCTAGGTGGGCAGAAGCTGGGACAAGTAATGGGAGTTCACCCTGTTGTGCGACACTCAGGTCTTGAACCCGAACTGTCAGCTTTCCAGCTGACAAGCTCAGTGTCTTGTAATAGTGATAATAAAAGATAAACTCTCTAAAAAAAGATGGTGATGCATGTATGCTCTTTTAATGTTTTACAGGTGATATTGCAGATGCTTTGCCTGAACATAAAGCAATGATTCTATCTAGTATTGATGGGAGCTAGAATGGGGAACATCTCCAGTGCACCAAACTTCTTCCTGAATCAGTATATGTATCCAGATATACACATTCTTCAGCGTTCATTTTTTGTTCAAGTGGCAGACATAATGCAATGATATATTTTGTTGGAAAACTGTTTAATCCATTACTTGCTATTTATATATACACTGAGACCTTATGCATCAGAGACAAATTCCTTGTGTCTAATCACACTTGACTAATTCTATTCTATTCTATTCTATTCTATTCTATTCTAGTGTTGGAATACCATATTAGACATTTTTAACTGATTAACTGGAGCTAAAATAAGATGAAACAAGAAATAGGAGAAAGCAACTCTAAGAAGAACAGATCAGTGATAGTACCACAGATTATAAATATATCAAACATAATTATTATGGAAATCTCAGCAAGAATGATCCAAAATGGATTACTTATAAGTGATTATAAATATACCTCGTTTGCAGCGGATGAAAGTAGAACATATTTTGTTCACTGATATGGAGCATTCTGGTCTGCTCAGATGTGATCAGATGCAAGATGCCTCCATGTCCTGGATTTGTCATGATGCAGGTGTCTTGGTCCCCAGTATAGCAACTCTTTCTAAAACCATCAAAGGTTATATCTGATAAAGGGAAAGTAAAAACTCTGTAGGAAAATGGCAGCACTCGACTAATTTATACAGAGAGCCAGTTTGCTCTAGTGTTTAAGGCACCAGTCTAGAAAGAAGGAAACTGGGAGTTCTAGTCCTGCCTTAGCAATGAAAACCATCTGGGCTAGTCTCTCTCTCCCCCCCTCTCTCTCTCCCCCTCCCTCCCTCTCTCTCTCTCTCTCTCTCTCTCTCCCTCTCCCTCTCTCCCTCCCTCTCCCTCTCCCTCTCTCCTCTCCCTCTTTCCCTCTCTCCCTCTCTCTCTCTCTCAGCCCAGCCCACCTTTCAGTGTTGTTGTTCTGGGGAAAATAGGAGGAGGAAGGTATGTTGGATATATTTATCTTGCTTGAGTTATTTGTAAAATTGATAAAGATGGGATACAAATAAATATCTCTAAATTATGAAGTAGCTGCATCAGTGTGTATGGTCTGTGGTATAATGTAGCTGCTTTAATTGTTGATAGTGCTTTTTGACACTTTTTTAAAAAACATTATCTAGAAGTAGAAATTAGAGGTAAAAGTTGTCTGTTCACATAGGTTTGCAAACCTTTTTTCCCCCTTTTAAATAAAGGATTAATATTTTAGGATTCAGTTAAAGATCTCATTGATTCCAGGGAGAAATCTTTGTCTCTGGGCTTACTGAATCGATGCTTCAATGTTCTGTCTAAAATTATTCGAAATGTCTTCATTTTTGTTTTCAGGAGGAAATCTTCAGCAAAATAAACAGCTGTGTCCATTTCTCTTCTATTTCTCAGTAGGACAGGAGAAAATCACAGCTGCATGTAGATATCATGCTAAGCATAGTTTAGTTCAAGAATAACCAACCTAGTGTCCTCCTTTTGTTCTAAACACCAGATATCATCATGGCAAATGTCAAATAATTTGAAGACTTGTAATTCCAAAGGTCTAAAGGGAGTCCATTTCTATCCCTACTTTGACAAGATATAAACAAGGAAAAATGAATGGCATCAGGCCATGAATTTTTCCTTTCCTTCCTATCTTTCCTATATAGCCAAGAGAGGAATTATGGTTAACTACAGCAAGCAATGTCAACTTTTAATTATATTTAGTTACAATTATGGATAATTTAAGCAAGCCAAATAAGTCAATTTGCCATGATTAAACAAGCAGGTAACTTTAAAGTGAATGATTGAAAATTAACATTTTTTTCTTTTACTTTTTTTCTTCGTAATGTTTTTCCTCAAATGCAGGGTCCATTTTTTTGGTTCAGTCAAGTGTTGATCCATTGATTGGGGCAGGTATTGACTGATCTTGACACCCAAGTCTGATGTCATAGGATGGGAAGAGTGACTGGCCCAGAGTCACCCAGCCAGCTTTCATAGTCTCCTCATTTCTAGCCTGGTGTCTTAACTAGGCAAAATTGGCTCTCTTAACAATATTTCATATTAATAGCAACAGCACTTAGACTTATATACCGCTTTACAATATTTTACAGTGCTCTTTAAGAGGTTTACATAGTCACCATATTGCCTCCAACAATCTGGGTCATTTTACCGACCTCGGAAGGATGGAAGGCTGAATCCTCCTTGAGCTGTTCAGAATTGATCTACTGGCAGATGGCAGAATTAGCCTGCAATACTGCATACTAACCACTGTGCCATCACGGCTCTTAATAATCATATTAATATGTCTTGGGAAGAGTATGCAAAACCACATCCCCATTTATTCATGTTAGATAAGATTAACATGTACAAACTCAGTGAATATAGTGAATATACAATATGACCATGGATTCTCATGCTTTCTGTGAGATTGGATAGACACACACACAAACACAATTACACAGAGGCACACACACGCTTTCATCAGAAGCATATAGATAGATTTATTTGGGTCTTTTTTCCATTTAAATGAGTCTTTTCTTCTATAACCATTTTACAGTGAGGAACATTGTTATTACATAATTGTATATTTTATGTGACAAGTTTTTGCTCTCCCAAGTACAACTACTCTTTCTTTTTTTTGTTGGTGTCATTGAAAAAGTCTTAATAATGTGCTGATTATTTTAGAAAAAGTATACATATGTATCTTGAAACAGAATAAAATTGACATAAAGACGTGTATTTTGACCTAAGACTGTATTAAATTTTGATTAAGCATACAAAATCAGGATCAGCTGCATTGAAATCAGTCCATTCCTAGGAAAATATTCATAGGCTGGGGCTTTGGTCAGCTACAAACTGTAGCACCACAATAGATCTGCTTGTCTAAAGTTTTTTAATAAAATATTTGAGGTTCCTAAGAATACTTTAAATGACATTTTAATCACCAAGCACCATTTGTAGTTCCAGGATTTATTAGTGTATTTATTATTTCAGTATTTATTAGACCACAGATGCTCTTAAAGTACTAACCTTGTAGAGTTGTGACTCCCAGAACTATTGAATAGTTTCTTATTTTATGCCATGGAGCATCAGGCCACCAGTTACAGTCCGAGGTAAAAGATGGCCATAACATGCCAATTCGACCCCTCCAGGGATTACGTGGAGCTCGATCTGTATTTGTCTCATTGGCTGAAAGAGGCTGGATTCTGTCCTTGATGCAGTCAAAGGAAGTGCTGGTTGCCATAAAGACAGAATTTCTTAGTTTCAGGTGCTGCTTTTTCTGGTGACAGTACAGCTTAGCAGATGGTCCATAAAGTACTGGCAAGAGTCCCACGACATTGTCTACCAATATCACCTTCTCAACTACTACACTTCCTACAAGATGAAACATTATCCCATAGTCATAGTTTTTGTAAGACAAAAAGCCTGTAATTTTAGTGCAGTTTGGAAAGCCATCTCCTTTATATAAATGAACCCCATGAAGGCTTGAATGAGCTACATTGCCACTGTAAAGGTCTTTTGCTAAGAAACATTCTTGACCCTTGATATGAAAGGCTATCCGTTCTGTACCAGCCACGCTATTATTATGTAGCATAGCACCTTCTACTGTATTTGTTTTGATGCCAGCCACCCAGAACCTTGAGGTCCCTGGTTGTTTGCTTAAGACAACCAGATTTCTGATGAGTGTGTGATTTTGGCCTTCTAAATGTATACCATGCCCAATTGTACTGAATATCACATTATCACGTAGGAAGAGCCCATTACTTGTAATGGCTTGAATACCAACTCCACAGCTGTGGTGAATGCTAGAGGAAATTATGAAAGATTTGGATGAATTTGTAATGTCAACTGATGGAGACTGTGAAGATCCAAAGTTCAAAATTTCAACATTTGAAAGTTGAAGCACACCTGCAAAATGGGAGAAGGACATGTTTAAGAATCAGAACTTTAGTGGGGGGGGTAAGGGGGGAGGGGGAACAAGATAACCTTCCATGCCTTAAAAAATAAAAACAATGGTAAAAGATATTCTATTGATGCCACTTTAGACATTCTTAATTCCTAAATCCTTAAGCTAGTACTATTCCATTTTTTTAAAAAAAGAGAAAGCAAATACAGTAACTAAGGGGTTACTTAATGATCCAGGTTTTATTTTCATTGATGCCTACATAACATTTGCTATAGAGGATAATAGTTTTTTTTTTACTTCGAATAGCATGTTTTAAACTCAGTTGCATTTACTTTCCTCAGTAATTATTACTATGTTATCACACTATTAATAAAATAAAAAATCATTTATAATTCCCACATTCATAAGGGGTTTGGGGGTCAATTGATGAAAGGAGGCAATGCCAACCTATTTCTGAAAAACCTTGTAAAGAAAACCACAAGGACTTGTCCAGGCAGTCTCTGAGAATTGGAATTATTGAACAGAAAAGAAAAAAAAAAACCCTCACCCACAATAGTAGGTTTGGTGTGATAACTATCAAATGAATTCATGTTCTTCTTTAAAAATACATGAGAAATCTAGAAAATTAAATTATGTTTTTCTAAGCTATATGGATTGAGAACCATGTGTAAAATAATTATAAATACTCAAGTACCTGCATCTTGATTTGCATAGTCCCAAGGTCTCACCAGAAGTCTTCCTATGCAATCCATGTCAGATTTAATCTGAATGTTTCTTGTCAGAAGCCCAACCTCTGCAGCCAGGAGAATCCATTGACCATCTTCTAATCTATGGGAATATCCTACAGAGATCAAAATGATGGAAAACAATAGAAGTGGAATAATAAACCAAACATGGGATCTCTACTAATTCTTCCCTTCTGAAAACAGTTCATATATCCAAGCTATGTACAGTAGGACTTCATAATTTATTGCAGATTCAGACATTTGGAAAAAGTCATTTACCTTATTATCACTTTTAACATTATTTTCCCCTTATTTCATATAATAATCATTGATATAGAGAAAAACATATCTCAAAAGTGAGGAGCATAGTACCTTAGCTGTTCTGTGATCAAGCCTAAAATAGTTCCATGGCATCTCAGAAAAAGATGTTAAATATAAGGTCAGAGTTTATTGCACCTACCTAAAATTTTGCAAGTATTTGTAATTCTAGTAGTATGAGACAGCAGTTAAATACAGAAATAATTGAGACAATTCATTCATTGTATAAGTGCCGATTGCCCATTTAAATGTCTTAAGAAGCAATACCAGCCCTTAAACTAAGCTGAGAGGTAAAGATACAAAATGGGGATGAGATCATACTTGCTGGTCCAATATATGTTGATTATAGTATATCTCTCCCCATGACTTATAATATCTTCCAAAATTATCCAACTATTGTGCCAGAAGAACATAATGGGAACAGATTTTATATCACTTCAGTGATGGCTGGGTTAAACTAGGCGCTACTATAATTCACTGAGGATTAGCTATATTTAGACCCCAGATGCATCTTCCCTGCAAAATGTTGGGTAGAAGACTGTACATTCATAGCCTCTGCATGTGAACTTAAAGTCAATTTGTAGTAGCTGGGTCAGGAGTCCAACTCTTGCCCTTCCACACATAAATCTCTATTTCAGCTGATTGTCTTCATAAGGTTAACTACTTTACGGATAACTTGTAATTCCCATTTTGTTACTTAATTAAAGCAATGAAAATGTTAAGGCACCCTAGAAAGAAAACGCTATTGAATAATGGCAAGTTTATTGAGGAGAAATAATGAATGTTGGGGTAGCCTTTAATGTACAAAACAAAATTCATGATACAATCTAAGCAAAGGAGACAAATTGCATACCAATATGTCTATGGAGAAGACGTTCACGGATCCTAATGCTACGATTGTTAACTTTTTCTAAAGTGATTATTTCAGCTTGATGGGCTTCATATGAAGAGGAACTGATAACAATACTGTCACCCTGATGCCAGTCCAAATGATCTTGCACCATAATCCTGTAAATCTCAAAAAAAATATTGTGAAGTTTCCATGAAACATTACTTCCTTTAAAGCATACAAATATACTATGAAGAAAAATAGAAAATGCTTACTAAAATGCTTACATTCACTGATGAAGACAAGTTTGTAAGTGGTAGGAAGAATGTGCCTGGATCCTGTCACTTTGGATAGGAGAAAAGATATTGAAATAGAATCCTGAAAAGCTGACATTTCTACAAATGCACCAAGGTCTTCTGTCACCACCAAGAGTTACTCATGTATGGGTAAACAGTACCCATCAGGGAGCATTTCTCTGACATGGGTGTCCTTCTATTTCCTGATGGATCAGCAAGTAGAAATGTGATCAGAGAGTTCTGGCTTCATCTGGTGTCAGAGGACTTGTAGGTCTTGACAGTGCTTTTTTGTAAACAACAAAAAAAAGGTGCCGGAACTCAAACACGTCATACAACTTGCCTTGCCTATCCTACAAGATTCCATCCAAAAGAAGTGCCAGAACTCCATTCTGGGCGTTCTATGACAAAAACAGTAACTCATGCTCTTATCATCAGCCATCTAGACTACTGAAATACCCTCTACTTAAGGATGCCCTTAAAGAATATTTAGAAACTGTGGTTGGTTTAAAATACAGCAGCCTGTATACTTTCAGGTTCCTGATGTTGGGAGTGCATACCATTATTTTTGTGGATCCTTGCCTTGGTTTCCATGTCCAATTTAAGGTGCTGATTTTGACCCATAAAATTATTTTCTTGACAAGCAGAAACTTTCTCTGGCCAACTTCTGCTCATCTCATTTAATCAAGCAGGAGAAACCTCTGCACACCCCACATTTTCAAATAATTACTGGGGTTGAAGCAAGGAGAAATTGCTTGTTTGTTTTTACCTCCTTATGAAGATCAAGCTGGCTCCTTCTGTACTGGCTTTCTGCAAGCTCCTAAAGATGTTTTCAGAGACCTTTTTCAGAGACCCTTTTCCTGATTTGAATTCTTGTTGCCATCTTTTATTCTCTTTCAGTTCTGTAAGGTTGCTGTAGTATTCATTTTTATATGAGTTTTGTTTTATATTGTATTTTTATGTGTGTGCCATCAATAGTTATTTTTAATGCAGTGGCATACTAATAAGTTTAATTCAGAATCATTTTGAAATGTTGCCAGAAAGGTCCTACCATGTCCTGAGTCTTTTGTTCAATTGACTCATGCAAAAAAAAAAAAAGGGGGGGGGTAAAATAAAAATAAAAAAGATTTTTCTTATTACCTATAATTTAACATCTACCTTTCATTTCCAGGTGCAACATCATTTCCAAGATACGTCCATGACTTCTTGGTGTAAACACTGTGCATCTGCAGCTTCCCAAAAACACCTTGAAAAGAGAAAAAGAAAGTAGCCATGATTCAAAAGCTGCTAAGCTTTGCAAGATCTTCAACATACTAGGGAGGACATCTCAGCTGTGCCAGAGATGTACCCATCGAAGCCTTTTTGTACTGGTGCAGATTGTTTGGGCACTTCATAAAGTTTCCAAAGCACTTTCCTTAAAGATTATATTAGGAAGATTCCAACTCTAGCAAAAAGGTGAACTGGCTTTCTGGATTACTGTATAATCCATATGCTCAGCAAGGTCATACCAGTATTGGAATAGGAAAATGACAGCTTCCTTGTGGGATTAAATAGCTTGAAAAAGGTAACATATCTAGAAATATAATAAAGGGAAAAAATGAAAAGATTATGGGGGGGGACTTATTTTCTATTTGAAATGAAAGCCTGTTTAGTGGCCTGTCATTTTGGTACATTGATAAGCAAAACTTTTGATGCTGAGGGTAGCAAATAGTGCAGGGACTGGATCTTATGGATATGCATATCCAAAAAGTTTCCTAATCAGAAGTACCTAATTTCAAGCCAGGAGCGTGATCAGAATGCCTATTATAACTCTATTTCAACCCTTTTCCTGTATGTTTATGGAGAAAGAAATCTCTATAAGAAATCTCTTATAGGAATGTAAATTAATCTGCCTTCCATGCTTCCACAGTGGTCTAAAGTCTCTTCCTAAATGCACACATAGACTTCTCCCAACACATACAAATACACAACCTGCCTATCCTCTTCTCCCATCTTGATTGTATGGAATTATTGTTTCTCAATGCATTCAATTTGTTGTGTAAGTTCATCTGAGGACAGAATGCTCTGTATGCCTTAAACACCCTACTCCTCCATAAGCTACTCACAATCTACTAAACAACTGATGGGCAGGTTGTTGTGAGATATATCCCACATCCTACATTCAGCACAGAAGCACAAGTAGATTAGAAGGGGCACAAATATGTTGTTGGCTGCTGGAAAAATGCTTCAATGTTTTCACGTTGTTTCAGGTTATCCATTCTTGACTTTTAGCAATCAAAATGCAGGCACTATTTAACAAAACAGGCAGTCTTTGATTGATGCTAAGTATAGGACATTTTTGATCAAGGTTTTTCCAGGGCCCCATTGAGGAATTCAAAAGATGCTATCCATACCAATGGTTCCTGGACCAACATTCAAACCGTTCAATCGATCACAATTTACTCTCTCAGATGCCCGAAGGAGAATGTGTACCTTTCTCCTTTCTTCTAATGGATGCTGCAGGGTGCCTAAGGAGAAATTGATGAACATTAATTAATTTGTACAATACATTTGTACAATACATTAATTAATTTGTACAATACATATTAAACCTTTAGCCAAGATGACTTACATAAAACTACACATACATGTAAGTAATAGCCAAATAAAATAAAAGCCAAATAAAATAAATATTAATGTTGCAGTACTCAAACATTACAAAACGCATAGCAAAAAGTACCAAGTACAACAATAATATTAACAGATATGCATGTTCTTTCTACTTCCAGCAAGCAATTAATTGTCAAAGGCCTGCCTAAGTACATGTGGTTTTCAGTGCTCATCTTACTGTTAAAATCAACTTAAATCAATGGATCCCCAATGAAAATATTTGAGCATGTAACAGCATTAATAATATCTCAACAGTGAACTAATTTACCAAAGAAATTTCAGTGAAGCAAAAAGGTCATGCTTTTTTTTTTTACATACTAGAGTTAAAAAGCACTGGGTTTTACAATAATATCAAGCATTTATTCTACTGCAGGATAGAATTTATTCTATACAAAGTTCATTCAGAATCTCAGAAACCAATTTTTTTTTTTCATAGCAGGAACACTTTTTTTTCCCCAGCTCTTATTTTATGGGATTTTGTCACATAGCTTTTGTCACATTCTAAATCAGATAAACTCTGGCACTTGCATAACTCACCAGATTTCACTCTGTTTTTTTTAATTTATGCTATAAACTTTTACCATAGTTCCATCCCACAAGGTCAACCTTATCATTTTCATCCAGGAGAGCTGTAACAATTGTCATGTGACCTCAGACAAACATTGGCACTGCTTGCTCATAACAGTGGCTAAAGCAGGGGAAAGGCAATCCTCTTTTTCCTTAACCAGAATAATCCAGATTACCAGTAAAAAAATAAACAGGGTGAGAGAAGGAAGAAAAGCTAATATTCCATACAACAGAGTATCCTTCTTGTCTAGTAGAAAGCAAAGACAATGGGTTGAAACTCTTTCTCTTCAAAGAGGATAATCTTCCTTTTTTTAAAAAAACAATATTTTCTTTCAGAGCAGATAATAATTCTTTCTTGATTACTCTGGCTGCTCTGGCATAGATATTTGTTTTGCTTAATAATTTCAGTTTCCCCAAATTTGTTTTAGAAATTCTTTTCTTTTCAGTAGGATAAGTGTGGAACAGAACTAGTTTGCTAGAGAAAAGGATAGTTAATCTCAAATATATTTGGCATTTTTTTCATATATCTTTGCATTAGTGTTTAAGTAACATTTTGGAAGAATCACATCTCTTTCAGAGACATAACATTTGAAACCTAAGTGAATTTTTCTGATGACATTGGAAATACAGGAAGACAATAAAAAGGCAAAAAAAGAGAGGATGGAAATAACAGTTATCTTTTAGAATGCAAAGTGAGCTGTATTCCAACTGTGAACCTATTTATTTCACCCAGGGTAGTTTACAGACTCAGAAGAAAATAGTCTAGCATGAAGCAGATACTTGAAGGAAAAAGCAGGGCAATTTCTGCCCTAGAGAAATGTAAGCAGAGTCCAGTAAGAGAGTTCAGCACTCCTTTAAAATTAGAGATTAAATCAATTATACAGCCCCAAACTGCAGCAGATGTAGAATTAAACAAAGAAATCTGTGCAGAATTAGCCATTGTGCCACAATAATTTAATATTCAGAAAACATGCCTTTGGTGAGGAAAAGAGAAAGTGCAATATGCAACCATAAGAATTAATCTTAGCAACCCATTTAATGAAGTGTCTATGAAATTAATCTTGTTATAGATACAACTAATCCTGATTCAAAATCAGGCAAATGATTCACACAAAGAGACTTAGAAGGACCACCCTGTTCAATCTGGAGGCCATTTCAGGCATCTGGAAATAGCTTGATTTACTCCAGACTGCTCTGGAGCTGGTTTGATCAGTCCCAGAATAATCATCATCATAATACAAAAAAGCAGAATTATATTATCTCTGAAAGGAGTTCCTTGCAGCATTCAAGAAAATCTTGTCACTTTTAGGGATATGTCTTTATCTTTTATTTTATTTATTTTTTAACCAAAGACCATAGCCAGAGCTAGGCTCTAAGGGGCAGCCAGACCTCTTCAGCTCTCTGTCCATAATCTCTGTTGGGTCACCTCCTCTACATAACAGGACAGGTCCTATGCTGTTTTTCTAGAGAGGTGGAGTCTAGTCTCTTGACTAGCAAAGCCATAATATTTCCAAACTCCCGGTAAAACATAATGTTTTCTATCTGAATGCATGACTGAACGATTTTCCTTGATCTGGTCTTATATTCCCCAGTCAAGAAATAAGAGAAACTTTTCCCAACATCTCATTACCGGTCCAAAGCATTGAAACCGAGGAAACAGATACTGATCTAATCATAAAGCTTATTTATAAATTACAAAATCCAGTCCCGATCTACCTCCTTTTCCTACCATTGTATTTTATGAGATTTTTTTTTTAAAAAAAAGATGGAGGATATCCTTATTTAAACTGCCAGCTATAGTCTTCTCCATATCAACAAAAACATCTGTTTTTGTCTTCTCACCAGATCATAGGAAGATTGGCTGGAAAGAAAAACTGTCAGTTTTTCTCCCCTACTCAAGGATATATGAGCTTTAAATGAAAAATATAACCCTATCCCAATTAGCACAACAAATCTTGCTAAAGAAAGCTTTGGGAATTGTGGCACAAAAATAGCGATGTTTTGTTTTGTTTTGTTTTGTTTTGTTTTAGGAGCTGCCAAATATCTTAAAATATATTATAGCAACACTGAATTTTTTTTTTACATAGTTGTTGGAGAACCAGCATCTGTAGCACTAGAACAATGGCTTGAGAAATGGAATTTCATGGAATATTTTGAGTCAAAACAATTCATTACATAACAATTTGTTCCAATTATTCAGTGTTTCAGGATTCAAAATTCAGCCAGGTCCAGAGCATAGCTCTATTCTAATAGTGACATCAGCATATGTTTTATAAACAAGAAACTGTCAAATAAGTCTGCTCCTAAAGTCCAGTTTTCCATGATTTCAGAATCACGGGCACTTCAATTTGCAGATACATAGATTGTGACATTGCTTTAATAATATATTGTTTTAAAAAATGATAATGATGTAAACTGAAATTCAGAATATATGGAGGTTCCTTTTATGCCAATTGATTACTTCATGCCATAAAATTGTTGTTGACTCTTGGTGACCATGTTGATAGATTTTCTCTATGATGATCTGTCCCTAAGCTGCTCCTTCAGCTCTTCCAATAGTGCACTCATTACCACTGTAACTGAGTCCATCCACAAAGCTCCTTGGTGATCTTTCTCTTTCTTTCTACCTTTCCCGGTATTAGAGCCTTTTCCAGACTGCTGGGTTGTCACATAATGTGCCCAAATTATAATAATTTCAGCTTGCTGATTTGCATCTCGAGTAAAAACTCTTGGTTGATTTATTTGATGTTCCATTCATTTGTTTTCTTGACATGAGACAAGGCTATATATTCTCCCCTTAAGACACTGATGGCTTTGAATTTTGGGTGTTATGGAAGACTCCTGAGAATACCATGGATAGACAGGAAAACAAAGAAATGGATCACAGAATCAATAAATCCACAGGCACAAATAACCAAGTTCAAATTATTTCATTTGGCTTTGAGGAGGTTGGGTCAGCTTTGAAAATGGTTGACCTTTTCACAAAATTCTTCAGGACTTTAACAAGCCGCTTTTTATAAACTTAATATATTATCTGCCCAACCTACAAAAGAAATACTACTTTTGCCTTTTACAACATGTTCACATCTTCACTTTTTAAAGGAAGATTCAGCAATGTTCCTGCATGTGAAAAACTTCTTTGCCTAAGGAAAAATAATCTCTCTTGCTCTCTCTCACACAGTTTCTCCACTTTGCTCCTGCCCGTGCTAAACAGCATGGGGAGCCAGATTAATAACATTTTCCATAAGCAATTCTTGCACTAGCTGATATGTCATCAGAATAGTAGCTAAATTCATTGCTTTTGCCATCATTATCAGACCCTCAAACTGTTAAACAGTACCTTCAATTTATCTTTTTCTAAGTGTTTACTTAATGTAGCATCAAACTTGGCAACTTTAAGTTGTGTGGACTTCAACTCCCAGAATTCTATGGAGTAGAAGTTCACATATCTTAAAGTTGCCAGGTTTGAAAAAAAAATGAGTTTCAATGAGTCTGTTGTTTTCTGGTAGGTTTATTCTAATCTCTGAAATAAATTTGTAAATATGTATGCATGTGCAGTATGTATATATGTGTATATATACATGTATACACACATACACAGGAACTGAGTTATAAGAAATGTTTTTAATTTAGGATTTATCTTTTTTTCCAGACAAATGCTGTCTTCCAGATTCTAACATGTTCCATCATCCTAGAGTCAATGGGAGGTAGGGGAGAGTAATACCAATATACCCACTGCCTTATTTCAACATGGACTCAATTGTATCAGAGGTAAAACACTTGCAGTCTAGCAGTAATGCACAATTCTGATAGACCACTGCACTGGGGTATCCAGCTCTTCAGAGAGATAACAGCCAACTGGCAGTCAATGAAGCTAACTAGGGACCAAAGGGAAAATGACTAAAGAGCTATTCCCTAATCCCAGGCACTATTGGGTCATCTCCAGTATAACAGTTACTGAAGCACAGAGATTTTGTACAACTTGCAACTGTCCTCTGGTTGCTGTCGGCTTAAAGCAGAACCCGTCAAAAGACTAGTTCATTTATGAAAACTGTGAATCCAGAACAAAACAAAGAATTGAACCTGGAAGATGATCTTTCTCTGAATCTATGTTCTTCCTCTCCATCTGTCCTCTGGGGGGAGGAGCATTGAATGCTACTTTTAATATATCGCTTCACGGGTTTTTCTCTCAGATCTCGCCTTGATTCCCTGCTGTCACTGGCCCCTAATAAAAGTTTCCTTTTGAGACAATGCCTGTCAAGAGTTCTGCTTTCTTGTGTGGCTTAGCTGAGGTAGGTCCTTACATCCACCCTGAATGATAATTTTCAAGTCATTCAGTCCTAAAATTCTGCACCGATTCCATTGATGTGCAGCTTGCTTTCTTTTGTGTTAAACACAAAACACAGCCCCTGTTATAAATCTCTTCTGGACCCAAGCAGATTTACACATTTTATAAAGTGAGTGTTGTCTCCATCTACTCCTGGATTTTATCTGTGAAATTCTCCAAGGCTTTTTAGTAAAACTGGGGAGGGGGGGTGGCAAAATTATCAAAATTATCTTTGAATCGAAGGAAAGGAGTGACCCCATTTTACAAATTACCAAGCCTACTTTAATTCTTATACAGTAAAATTAGAAGGGACCATTTAGGCCACTGAAGTCAACCCCTGTGTAGGAATCCAAATTAAGTATCCTAGACAGATGGTTGTCCAGTCTCTGCTTGAACACATCCAATTAAGAAGAGCTCACCAAGCTTCTGGCCTGATGATTCCACTGCTCTTCTTGTTAGAAGACTTTTTTTTAAAAAAAAAATCAATTCAGAATCTATAATTCCTGTAATTCCAGTCTTATCTATTATAACATGTTGTTTCTAGAAAGAGAGAGAACAGGGCTTGATCCTCTATGTGACATCTTCCCTGTTATTTGAAGAGTGGTGTTATGTTCTTCCCACCTCTTCATTTTTTTTTGATCCTCAAGGCCAAACATCCTTCTATATCTCTGTAGACTTCTTACTTTCTAGTCCTCTGATCATCTTCATTGCCCTTCTATGAACTTGTTCACTTCCTTTGAATCTTTTGAAACTTTACTTTTCGGGTGGTATTTCCTTTGTTTGTATCTCTGCTGCACGTTTGTAATGGTATTTGGAAATTACCTTGAAGGTCAGGAGGAAGAGCTAGACAACAGTCTGATAAACAAAATTAATTTGTGTCCCAAGGAGGAGAGGTAGCAAAAGTGTCTCAGTAGGGACTTTCTCTAGTTTTTGGGAGAGTAAAAGTGAAGGGTGGCAGGGTACTTTCAGATTTGAAAGATTGATGTTGGCCTTGCAAAGAAGTCCAGACAAGAAGAACAACCAGGAGTATTAGCTCTATCTTGGCTGTAAGATTACATTAACAGAATCTTGCAAGTCTGAAAGTAACCCTGTCATTCCTCACTTTTATTTTCCCCAAATCGAGATGATTCTTTCTGAGATGTTTGTTTCATCACCTCTCCTTTGGACTCAAATTTGGTTCATTGTCCAGGTGCAGTTTTCCCTCCTGTCCCCCAAGATCATTCCCACATGCCATTACAACTTTATATCTCCTTCTGCTAAATATACATGTTTATTTTCAATCTGCTTCTTTAAACTATGAAGATAAATTTGAATTTTATTTGATGAGCTTCCGTTCCATGTCTTATCCAGATCACTAATACAAATGTTGAAGAATGACAACTTCTTGTATATTTAAATGTTAAGGATAATTTAGGTCAATATTAGTATTATGGAAATCAAAGTCAGCTCAATTTCAGAATAAAAAAGGATATGAATCCCTTTTAAGTAGTGAACACATTTGGAATTTTAATAAAGAGTTGCAAGCATCACCGTAAAGTAAGTGATTTGTGGCCTTAGCTAATCACAAAAGGATTGTGATGGGGTAGGGACTACTAATCATAAAATATTTGAAGTTCCACATCAGGAGCTTTACTGCTCCATGCCTTAATAGTTTTATGAATGGATTACTGCAATACACTTGATGCAGAGCTATTCCTGAAGATGGTCCAGCATCTGCCCGATTGTTAAGGAAGGTGGCTAAATTAGTTCATGTCACAAGACCAATTCAAGGTGTTGAGAAAGGATTTTCTGGGCCTAACTCAATATAGGCTCTATTGCATCCCTTATCTACTAGGGGAAAAAAATACCAGGTTTTCTGCTCAATGTGAAACAGCCTTTGATTGCATTCCAATGAGCATTTATCTGGAATAGATTCCACTTCGACTAGAACAGACCCCTTTTGTACTACAGCATGCCCAGCATATTGGAAGAGGTTAATAAATGTTAGATAGCATGAGAATCAATTTATGATGTTATTCTACTTTCTAAATTTCATCATTTGCCCTCTTTGTCATGCCTGAGGCTAATTAGACTTGTTGGTTCACTTTTTTAAAAAAATAAAAGATACGACATGCAGCATCTCTTCTGGCTATTATTATTTTTCACTTACCCACTTTCAAGACACCACCAGCAGCAATCACAATACAGGCCACGCTCAGAAGATGGCTGGTGTTTAATGAGAATTCCAGTGTGCCCTGGATATAAAGACCTCGTAGGGGTGGAAGATTCATATCCACCAAGATAGTTCTGTCTTAGAAAGAAGGAAATAATGCAGAGCATTACTTTGTTTAATATATTGCTTTTTTAAAAAGTAGTCTCCTTTTTGCATCCTTTTATAAGATGCTAAATTGAATAATGAGACTAGGACTATTACTTAATTTATGGATCATTTAAGTGAATATTCTGCTCCCCATCAAATTAGATCTGAATGGAAAAAAGTTTATACACTACAGAAAATAAATAAGATAGGTTAAAATATTCAAACCTTCTAATAAACAATACACTTATTTAATATAGTAGATATATATTTCTTTGTTGCATTTATACTTTATATTATCTTGAAAACTAAGGCAGTTTACATTTGCCTCTCTCCTCATTTTATCCCTAAAAAACAACACTGAAATAGCTTGGACAGAGAGAGAACAAGTGGCTCCAAATCAAATGGGAACTGACAGTGGATCTCCCCAGCCAAATAATAACCTATTTGTATAAACAACATATATTCCTCCATGCACCCATAGAGCAATCAGGCACAAATTAATACTTCCCCTTGGGAATGTTGAGAAGGAGATGGGAAGAGAGGAAGCTCATTTCTGGGCTGGGGGCTGGCAACTGGAAGGCAAGTAAGCAGGATGGAAAACTATAAGAAAGACAGGGCTATGGAGGAGGAAAAGACCCTGTTGTTGGGAAAGGTTGAAGGCAAAAGGAGAAGAGCACAGCAGAAGATGAAATGATTAGATAATGTCATCAATGCAGTGATCATGAATTTGGGTAAACTCCAAGAGACAGTTAGGGATATGGTGTGCTAAGGTCCATGGGATCATGAAGAGTTAGACATGACTTAGCAACTGAGCAAGAACAAATGGAGGAGGAGAATGATAGTATGATACAGGAGCAGGGATACAGGCTAAACTAGGAAGAAATAAAAGGGAAAGAAGCAGAGAATGATTTCAAAGAACAGGCATATTGAAAAAAAGGAGTGGAGAGAATGAAGAAGTGGTATCCAAACATGGAAAGAGCAACAGCCTCTTAAAAACAAACAGGCAATCCTTGACTTTTTCCCTTTTCTCAGATAAGGCATTCAGAATTTAACTGGACTCTTCTATAAATTACTAGACATATGGTAACTCTAATTAAAACTCTGTATTATAAAGGCCTGGTGTTCTGAATGTTTTGGGTTGCATCCAATACTAGCCATCTGTCAATGCAAAGGCATCCATAAGAAGAATGGATTACCCTCCCTGTATATTCCCAAAAATCATTTCCAAAGGAAATATTCAGGCTGCAGAGGACAGAAGGGAGCACAAAAAGAAATCTTCACCTCAGCAGAAAATGACAGAGATATAAGTAAAAACTAAGTGTTTTAGTGAGCTGTCAAAGTGACAAGATATAGTCCATAAGATATAACAGTATAAATTGATTAAGAATAGCTGTTAAACTATATGTTTAAAACAAATCTGAGATTTAGCATTAGTTTAGATCTAACATAAAACAAAAAGAATAAGTTTTATTACAACAAAAGGCTAATCTTAGTGATACCAAGCAGTGATGTGAAAATAGTCATCTCTTATTAAAGAATCCAGCCATATACTCTAATGAAAAGAGAAGCATTTTCAGCACAATGTCCTTTCCCTCAGCACTCATGGGTAAGTATTTTTATTTATCTTTATCTTAAAAATGAAAACCTGGCTTTTCAACTGGCCTTTAGCACTGAAATTTTGTGAGATCCTTCCTCCTATAAAATGGATTATAGTGGACTTTTATTTATCTCTGGTACCGTGCTTTGCATTAAATTGTTATTCCTTTAGACTCTTTAAAATCTTATTTACTCAAGTGGGAAATGTAAACTATTCATAGAAAACCTATTCAGAGGTTTTGATTTGAGCAGCATATAAGCCTTGTAAATAAGTATATAAAACAATGGCCATCTCCAAGTTTGGTTGTGGCAGGCAGTGTTTGGCAGAAAGGTGTTTTTGACAAGAGCATTCCAATGGAAAATGAGATTTAAAACCGAAGCATTTTGTTGCTATCTTTTTACTGATTCTTATAGGGAAGAGTTAGAAGACTTTTGACCCACAGTATAGATACATGAAACCAACCAAGGCAGAGAAGAGGAGCAGAGCTTTAAAAACAGCATTTATCAATACCATCCAGAAGCAAGCTATGTTCTATTAGTGTTTAACCTTTTCAGTCCCCAACTGTAATACTGAAGTGCCATTTACTGATTTTTGGAAGCTTTGTTTTTAAAATGTTCGTTTACCTTTCTCAGTAACACTACTGTTTAAATAGTGATCATGGTCTTAAAATAATACATAATATATACTTAAGATGAAGAAAAGTGATGAATCAGTAGGAACTTTCAGTCTGCTTTTCAGGGATTGGATACGAGTGTATGTATTCCAATTATTATTATTATTCCAGAGGGGCAAATTTTTTGTAGAGATTCTCTACAACAGAGTTCCCCAACCTTTTCAGCTTTGTGGACCAGAGGGGATGGTTCCATGCCGACAAGCATTCATGCAGTTCCATTTGCACCACTGGTGGGTGGGCATGCTTACCATTTGTGCAAATGGAACGTGCATGCACTCGCCCTCTGCTCACCCAAGTGGGGAAGTGCATACTCTCGGCCGCCCCTTCCCTGGCCCCATTCTGAAAGGCTCCAGGCCTGGTAATGGGCTGCAGCCTGGGGGTTGGGGACGCCTGCTCTACAAGGTAAATTGGATTGAAAACAATTTTAGCTGCAAATTCTGGGATAGCAGAATTTATTAGAATTCTTCTCCAAAATGAGTATAAGTAAAGTATTTTTATAATTTTAAAATGTACGTGGCAAGATATTTAATTATGTATTTAGTCAAGAGAAAAAAAGGTGATGCTCTAATTCTGATAAAGCAAAAATCCTATGAAGATAATTAATTACTACTTGTGTTGGAGACAACCCGAGATATCAAGAGGCCCTTGTCTTTGTAATGGGATGAAATAATGGGACGTTGCAAACATGATCCCTATTCCCGGGAATATAGGAGATAACCAGTGTATTTCTTTATGTAGAAACAAGACATGGAATCTGAAAAATCTCTCTGTATAAGTAAAAAATCTGCGTTACAGCTGAGGAAACTATATGAGAATTCTACATGAATAGTAAAAGCACTGAGGGAAAGCTAAAGCAATCAGACATCAGTTGTCTTATTTCATGTGGAAAGGCCCAGCAGTCTGCTGCTGAAGTGATGGGATAGCCACCCCTCAGCAGTTATTTATAAATTCCACCCTCCTCCTGAAAAAATATGGACATAGTCCTTCAGTTGACCTATTCATCTGATATCTCAGCTCCTGAAATAGATGGAAAATCAAAGGGTGACATTTTTAGCCTGGCTCTAATTCTCAGACTCCAGACTAGCCGTGTCCATAGGGGCTTCTCAGCGCTGACAGGCTTTGAGGACTTTTTCCAGCTCTGTCTGGTGGCTTTATTCTTTGGCTCTGATTTCCCCGAATCTATGCTGGTGCAGTTGCCTGCAGTTCTGACCTGACAAAACCGCAGTGGAATATCTATTCCAGGGAGAGAAAGGCAGTCATCAATTCATTGCCGCTGTTCACTGCCTGAAGATAGAGTGGAGCTCTGAGGGTCTGAGTTTGCAAGGTTTTTCAAGTCTCTTATCCAATAGGTTTTAAAGATGTAACAGTCGTGGAGAAAAGCTAGGAAAGTATATGGAGAGTATGTATGGAGATCTCAATAAATAACTGTTAACAGAAAGATAAAGAGGAAACACACACCAATATTTACCAGGACCATAGACCAGGAGATAATTTTTTTATGGTTCAAGACTTGGAATGCCCCCAACACCCACACATTCAAAAGATCATTATTTCAAAGGCTTTTTTAAAAAGAATTTATCTTTTCCTGCTACTAGCAACAAAGAAAAGAAACAAAGTAGAAAAGCATTAACTCTACCTTCTCATACCATGCTAAGGACAAAATGCATGTACATCCTAGCAGAGGGCGAGAAGGTCAAGTAACTATCTTTCCATTCAGACCTACCTCCAATCTCATGACAAGTACAGTTTACATTTATAATCCAGAATTTGTGTACATACTCAAGTGCATTTTAAAAAGACAAAACAAATGACTGCATTATAGCAGATGGTGCTGCTAGAAACCTGTAAATAAAATTTTTCTGTCATCTCTATGGACGATGAAATGCATCTCATCCAGCATTCAGAAATTACATCCATCGTAATATATACCTAGTTGCTGTTGTTATTCCTATTGCAGCTAAGTCTAAAAAACCCCAAAACAATTCTAATTCAATTAATCTTTAAATAAGCATATGGAAAATTCTGCCTACTCCCAACTTTGAGTCTGTAAAGAAATTCAGTGAAGGCCTAGCTAGTGAATGTTGCTTAATAAAAACAACTCCTTTAAAAAAACACACAAAGCAAAAGGATTATCTTCATGCTTTGGTAGATGAACCGTCTGTGTTTCTTCCACACTGCCTGCCACTGAACTCCAGGGATAAAAATGTTACACAACAACTCAATCTGTTTTGTAACTCAGACACCACATTATCATCAGATCAAGTTACTAGTCAAACAAACACTGGAAAACAGATGGTTCCAAACTGAATGGAGGGCTTCTTTTCACTCCCTGTGCTATAAATAAACAAAAGAAGCAGAGGTCATGTAGATTATGAATGGGGGCTCAATTGTCCTGTATTCATATATGCAGTTTGAATGACAGCAAGGTCATTGTTGGGACCTTTATCTGAGCTATCTACTGTCACTGTATTAACAAGTTTTAAATCTTGTTTAAACCTTCAAAAATTCAGGGATAGGAGAATTTGCCAGCCACTTTTTAAGGCAGTTTTCTCTTTTTCCAGTGTTATATTCATTTGATTAAATTCTATAGCTATTTCTAAGCTGTTGTTCAATTGAATGCATGTCTGTGTACATTTTTCATAAGATTTTTGCCTGGTATCTTTTGGGGGTAAGATTTACGGTATATTTTCCCAATACCCAGGTAGAATGCACAAGAAATCT